ACAAGTTCGACATCCTTGGTGAGGCTGATACCCTCTGGGAACCTTCCTGGGTTTGAACCCAGGTTCAGTCCAGGTTCAGCTAACATTTGAATGTTGACTCCTTTGGGAACCTGAGAATGGCAGTCACAATAATATTTGAAAATGATCTGCATGGGAGTCTTTTAAACAATGGTTCCTACAACAATATGTATATGCATGTTACTCAACCTATCAATACATTTAGTCAAAGGAAAGTGTGTCCAAAAAGCAGAATTTGGTTCTGTGTTTACAAGTTATGCCAGATGTGAATTTCCAACACAGTGATAATAGAAATAAAACTGAGGCAGAGTACAGACACACAGGCAAAAGTTTTAATGGAGTGGGTGAGGTCCAGGAGAAAGGAAAGGAACTTCCTTTTTTAATTTCTCAAATCTTAAGGAGTAGACGATGAGTCAAAAGAGGAAAAAAAGAGTCATTCATTTTTTTACTCCACAAATACTGAACACATAAATGTAGTACAGTATGTTAGGCAGGATTAAGCACTAATTTAAAGAGATACCAGGCTCCCCCAACAAAGAAAGCAAGTTAAGTATATTTGTGTGCAGGGGTTGCAGGGGTGGGCTCAAGTCCTGATCATGGTGTCAAAAGGTATTTCTTTTCTTGTGTAAACATCCTGGCCTTGAGGAATGGGCATTCAGTTTATCCCAGGAGCTGTTGGAAGTTTTCCTACTGCCTGCCACATTGTTCTGTATAAACATTTCTAGCTGCTAACAGAGCACACGGGGAGAAGGAAAACACTTATCATGCTTTTAATCAGTAACAGGTTTAAGGGCCCAAAAATGTGCTTGCCTTCAGTCCTTTTGTGGGATCCCAAACAGTCTCATTCTCTCAGCTAGTTTCTTGTTAGAGATATTATGGTGAAGGCATCCTGGCTTCATTGCTTCACATGGTTTTCAAGGCCAGCAGGATTGTTTGGAGGATGACTGTGGGTATGGCTCAAGTGGTAGAGCACTTGCCTAGGAAGCCCTGCAAAAAAAAACGGGGGAAAGGGGGATGGGGTGCTTAGGTAGGAAAGAACCTACACTATACTTTTCAGAGGTAGGTACTACATTAAGATTCTGGACCTGCACCTGCCCTTTGTCTTCATGGAGGTCTCTGGCTACCTCAGTTGGGGCCAACATATACACAGATTGCCACAATTCATCGACCTACTGCAAATATAGATTCTGAAATAAGGTATATATAAAAATCGGTACAAGCCTTTTCAAGTTGCTCTCACACACTTAGACTGTACACCAAGGTTGGCAAACTTTTTCTGGAAGAATCCCAGATAACACAAATTTAGGCTTCTCAACTCAAGGATCCCTGGAGCAGCTTTGCAATTCTGCCCTTGGAACTGTAAGCCACCACAGAAAATATATAAATGAGTTAAGTGTGGCTGTACCCAAACAAAACTTTATTTACAAAAACATGAGGCAGTCCTGACTTACCCTGGCCTGCAATTTGCTAACTCTGGCCAGGGCTGCAGCTCAGAGGTAGAGCACTTACCTAGATTTGATCCCCAGCACTGCAAACAAATGAACAAAAAAGCAAACAAATAAAAAACCAGTTTGCTATCTGGGTGTCATAATCCCAACTACCTGGGACTCAGAGGCAGAAGAATCTAGACTTTGAGGTCAAGCAAAGGTAGCAGAAAACTCTGTTTCAAAAACAAAAACATGGAAGGAGGGGTGCTGGGATGTAGCTTAAATAATAGAGTACAAGGTTTAGGGTTCAATTCCTGGTAACAGGTAAAAAACTCAACAATAAAAGTTTGCCAAACCTGGCCTAAACCCTCAAAATTACCAATGCGTCCACACCCCAGTTTCTCCAGGACCGTCTGTTTTCAAACAGTTTCATCCTTTTTTTAAGCCATGTGCCAAAACTCATGTCCAAAATCATCAAGGTTATTTTGAGGGCAACACATAGCTTGTGAAAGCAAACCATACTTTGTCCAAATCTATAATACATCATGAATTGCTATGTCCTGGAAATCTGCTGGGCTTCAATATTTCACAACTACTTATAGCAATAGAAACTGAATACCAGTCAGAGCTCTGTCTGCAGAAACAGCTGAGAAAATTTTCCTGTTCCACCATTTTGCGTGTAACTACACTTTGATGGGCTATTTGGTTCCAATAGAGCTCTGTCCTCCTTTTCCCTTAACTTCAAGGGGAGAGAGGGAAATTCATTTAAAAAGCTGCATCAAGTCAGGCACCAAGGGCTACTCAGAAAGCAGAGATCAAGAGGGTGGTGGTTTGAAGTCAGCCCAGCAAATAGATCTTGAGACCCCATCTAGGGCTGGTGGAGTGGCTCAAGATGTAGGCTCTGAGTTCAAGCCTTACTACTGAAAGAAAAAAAAAAAAAGCTGCATCAGAACATACTACACACAAACCCATGGCTCAGTGGTTGGTTCAACATTCTTCTTCACCTCTCTGAAAAGCTGACAAAACTACTAATCCTCTGTCTGGAAAAAGCACATAATAACTAGGAACAATTTTAAAGGGTTCGCAGACCTACTAGACCTATTCATGGACTACTAGAAGCCCAAGGACAACAGGTTTTTCCTTGCTCTCTCCTTTTCCCTGCTACCTTCCCAGTCCCAGTCCTCTTTTTGTCCCTAATTCTGTCTCATTCATCAGTTTTCTTCCCATGGTGTAACTCAGAGACCCAGGCTAGAATTCCAGCTTAAGCACTTATTAGTTTTGGCTTCCCTGTCTAGAGGAAAGAATCCCAACAAAGTGTGACTAGTGTCAGGGAAGAAAGCAAGTCAAGTGCCGGGATCTTGCCAGAAAGAAAACTAAAATTCTTAGGCCTAAGCCTGTCTCTGGAGTTTACCACTAGCCCATGCAGGCTCCCAACAAACTTCACAGTTACATATGGCTTAAATAGTCATATCAGGGCTGCACCCTATATTTTCCAGGAATAATCACAATTCCAAAAATCTGTCTTAATAGTTTCCATAAATATCCCTGTACATGCAAGATCACGTGTTCTACTGTTTGCTTTTGAGGGAATAGAGTAGATATTTCCATGTTGTATATTTCAGTTTTAGTATCTTCAGGAGGAGAGATTTTTTTCTATTATCTTTTGCCTATATTCTTCCTTTTTTAATTTCTCAGATCTTAAGGAGTAGAGGGTGAGCCAAAGGAGAAAAAAAAATAGTCATTTGCTTATTTATTCCACAAATAGTTAGCACCTAAATGTACTATGCACTGTTCAAAATATCAAAAGTCCCCTCACTCATAGAGCTTTCATCCTGACAAGAAACAAAAGACAAGCAAAATAAATGCATAAATAGTATGGCACATTAGGTGGCTTTAAGTGCTAGATAAAAAAAATAAAACACAGGCCATAACTAGAGAGTGAGGCCTGGGAAATGATTTCGGAATCTTACCTTTTTTTGGAGGTACTGGGGTTCGAACTCAGGGCGTCACACTTGCTAGGCAGGTGCTCTACCACTTGAGCCACTCCACTAGCCAGAGTTGGGATTTTAAATAGGTCAGAAAGACCTACTAAGAAAGTGATCCTTGAATAAGGGGCTGAGGATGTAGTTCATTAGCTTAGCACATATGAAGCCATGGGTTCAATCATAGGGCAGGGATATCAGACAATCCCTCTGCTCCACTCAGATCTCCTCTTTCCTTTTTCACCGTTTTTTTGTACCACTCCTTCCCCCCACAGTGCACTGTTGTTACTGACATCTAGTACCTGCAGTTTGTCTTCACAGAACTGCCTACAGATGACACAATGCAGTATGAGCCCAGCACTGCACTTGCCCAGTACCCACCCTCTTCCCTATAACCCCACAACCTCAAAGGCAGGGAAGAAACCAGACTGGGGATGTTGGGCAAAGGCAGAGTAAGAAGATACTGGAAGCTTCATGTAGGCTCATTCACTCTTTGTATGCTGCTATATTAAAAAGCAATTTCATGTACATTAGCTCAAGCATCACTCAGGATGCCCACTATCATCTGACAATCTCTGCTTTAGTCTTTTCCTTCAATATGCTCTCCAATTTCATTCATCTCTTCGTGAGAATAAAAACACTGGAGGTAAAATGTACAATGTAAGCATATTTACAAATGTCACAATGAATCCCCTCTGGACAACTAATATAAGCTAATAAAATGCTCTGAGAAAAAAATATACACTGGAGGTGGAAGAACTGGACTGAGTGTCACATGTCCTGGCTTTGCAGACTTCTAGAGATGCCCCACTGCCTCCTGGCACAACCAGGATGGGGCCTATGGGCAGCCCCAGAATTCAATCAGTCTCTCTGAATGTCAACGGTGTTCTCAGATAACTACAGGTCAGGGTTCCCATCTGTTCATTCTCCCTCCACAGTGGCCTACATTGGCTAGGTGTTTGGATACTTCATATGGTAAACCACAGTACCCAGAATCAGTGAAGAGAGCCCTGGGATAGTCCAGAAGGCTACTTCAACACATTCAAGGAACATCTAATCATGAGTCAAGCCCTTACTTAGCAAGCACTGGCAGTAAGATGACCAGTGTAGATATCTGAACCTTTGCTTTCAAGACCTTGGTAATGCACTGGAGATCACCAACAGTCCCCCACAAAGGTGCAGGACCACAGCAGTTATTACCAAAGATCCACAGAAGTCCAAATTAAGCATTAGTTGGGGGCGGGGGGGGGAGTTCCAGGAGGCCATCACAAGGAACTATTTGAGCTGGATGTGGAAAAACAGAAGCGTCTAAGGCTAAAAGTGCTCGTTCAGGGGAGGGACCTGACTACACCAAGGGCACCCACCCGGAGTGAGGGGATCGACATCGCTGGGCCTTGGCTTAGAAACCTGCAACAATGACACCCTCGAAAAGCGCGTGGCACACTGCAAAACTCCGTGCGGCTCTGCGCTAAGGCCGTTTGTTGTACATAACCTGGCCGTGAAGGCAGGAAGCCCAGCGAGGCGCCAGTGAGAAGCCGCGTCCCCCCGCCCCCGCCCGCCTCCGTCCGCGGTGTACTGAAGCCTTGCTCCCAGGCAAAGAAGGAAGAGACAACGCGGGGCTGCGGAGCAGCTGGTCCAAAGCCTCGCCCCGGGCCGGTTCCGGCGTCTCGCAGCCCAGAACCGAAGCCACTCCGGGCAGTCATCGTCTGGGACCGCCCGGGACCGTCCGGGCACCGCCCGCCGCGCCCGCTGCAGCCTCACGCCGTGAACCCCCAGCCCGTCCCGCGGCCGGGCCTCCTCCGCCGCCCTCCTCTCGCCGTGACGAATCGGCGCCCGGCTGGGAACGCATTCAGATTCGGGAGGTTTTAAGGAAAGTGTGGGGTTTGAAAAAAATCCTTGGACTGTACTAAGCATCAGCACGTCCTCCTCAGAAGGGCGATTCCCGCCACGAGAGCCGGAGAGAAATCCCGCCGAGTGTGGAAAGTGCGAACGCGGAAGCTCCGGCGCGAGGGGCGGGGCGAGCGCGGGACAAAGGGAAGCGGAGCCGGAGCTGCGGGCGCCTTCTCGGCCCGCGGGTGAGTTTTTCCAGGTGGGCCCGACCCGGTCGGGAGGGTGGCGAGTCGTGCTGGTCCCGTTTTGGCGGGACCCCGAGTTCCCACGGGTTTCTGGAAGGGTCTGTCTTGGCCGTGGGGCCATAACCGGCGCCCGTGCGGCCTCCGTGAGGCCTAGCGGCGAGGGTCGGAGCCCCAAGCCGGGACGCGACTTCCCCCTTCCCCCTCCTCTGACACTGGCTCGAGCACCTGTGCTCACCCCCACTTTTAGGGAAGTTTCCGGGAAAGTGCATCCTCCGCGACAGACTGTAAGGGAACGGCCCTCGGGGGCGAGGCTAGCCGGGGGTCCTCACCGCCCCCAGAATGGTGGCTCCCCTTCGGGGACCAGCAGCGACCGGAGGGTGCACGGGCTGGCTGGCTGGCAGTGAGGAGCGAAAGCGCTAGACAGCGTAGCCTGGGTTCGAAACCCAGCTCTGGCACTTCCTGGCCGGATGGCCAAGTTACTTAAACGCTCTGAGACTTTTTTTTTTTTTTTCATCTGTAAAATGGGGACAGGGTCATTGTGATTGGTGAGCAAGATCGTGTAATAAGCATATCCCATATAAGGTAATTATGCCACAAATCCTTGATCGAATATCTGTTTTGTGCCAGGCACCAGGGATGGATCCATCGTGGACACATGTCCAGGCCCACTCTTTAGAATTCATTTTTCTAGCGAAGGCGAGCAGTCATTGGAAAGTATTCACAATGAAGTGCAGTGCACAGGGAGCTGTGGCAGTTTCTGTTGAGGGCTCCCCACAGCAAGGCCTACTGGATGATGACAGCTCCGATAATCTGAGCAAGAAGTAGAACTGCACAGGAGTTCAAGGTTTCTGCCTGTTCTTTAAGGAAAGGAGGAGAGACCCAGGTTGGACCATTGAGCAGATAAATGATTTGCACACCCGGACTCATCCTGATGCTCCAAGGAGTGTCCTTAAAATGCAAAATAAAAGCAAAAAAAAAAAAGAAAAAAATCATGTTTGTTTTACATGATGTTGGATGAAGGTACTCCAGGAGCCACAGATGTTCATTTGCCTTCTTTCTAAAAATGAATTTCTGTCTCTGTAACTTTCCATTTGTGATGTATATTGATGTAAGTCACAAGCTCACATGTGTCTGTTTGTGTTGTGAGCTGGTGATAGAAGGACAAAATTTATTAAGAATTCAGCTAGGAAAAAATTAGATGGTTCCCTGATCCCTAGCAACATAAAATCTAGCTATGTTCACAGGTTGAAAAAAAAAAAAAATGTTGCAAGGAAGAGTACTGTGGAGCTTTGTAAACTAAATAGGAATGCAGAGAAAGGAGCAATTAATTCCACCCAGGTGTAAATTACCAGAAAGTGCTGTTGAGAAGGTAAATTTTGAAATGGGTTGGGAAGCAAGAATAAAGAGTTCTCCAGGTAGACTCTCAAAATTTATATCCCCACTTTTGGAGCTTTTTATCAATATAAGAGAATGTGAAATCCACTATCATTCCCAATTACCTTTTAACTGCCTCTAGGAATAAAATGCTGCTCTGATTTAATAGATGTTGTTACTCAAAAACTAGTAGAGCTGCTGATGAGGAAGTTGTTAGTATCTGGTAGGCCTTGTTGGGGTCACCCTGGTAATACATCACATTCTATTGTCATTATTTTTTTTTATCAGTCTGAGTAAACGTTTACATGGCATCAGCAAAATGTTTTCCATACAAGACGTGGCTCAGTATCATAAGCAAAACCTGGAAATACATTTCTAATACTCTAAATATCCCAGTAATTTATAATAGTCATTTAATTTTGATCAAATGACCTACAAGAACGAGTTAAAATATGCTTGATTACTAGCAATTAAAAGTGAAGTAATTTGCTCAGAAATACCAATTAAACTACCCTATTCTTTAGGAAAACATTCTCTTATGCTTGCTGAGTTTTGATTCTCTTTTTTTTTTCCTTTTTTTTTCTTTTTTTTTATTTAGTGTCTCAGATTCATTCTTAAGGAACTGAGAACTTAATCTTCCAAAATGTCAAGTAAGTTTCAATTTTTATATTTATCTATGTTAATAAGAGACTAATGCCCTAGCAAATGGGAATTCCAAAATACTCTCATTTTTTTCTTCAAAACAGGACCATTGGTAGTTTTGTTGCATAGTATTATATCTCAGTTGTTTACAAGAAGTTATTTATTTTCTTTCAAACAGAAAGACCATCTTATGCCCCACCTCCCACCCCAGCTCCTGCAACAGTAAGTTTTAATTTTCTTGTTAATGTAATAGCCAAGTCTGGCCTTGATACAAAAACCCAGATGTCTTCCAGTGACAGTCACTCAATCATCACAGCCAAAGGATGAAAAAGTCAGCTAAAAAAACAGCACTTCCTACTAAATAAAAGAACTCTTTGCATTTTATCTTGAACCAACCCCAACATTTTAAAAACATACTGTGAAATTCCAACCTCCTATGCTCTGTTTGGTTTTTGGTTTTTTTTTTTCTCAATGGGAAATACAAGCTTAGCATTTCTTTCTTATTAATCTTCACTATTAAGAGTCTTTAAGTTGATATTGAGTGAATGCTCATTCTGGCATTATTTTTTAAACCTAACCTTCAACTGGTTACATTTTTCACTTTTCTAGTCTGGGGCTGGGGATGTAGCTCAGTGGCAGAGTGTTTGCCTAGCATGTGCAAGGCCCTTGGTTTGATCTCCAGCAACACACAAATTTTTTTTTTTATTATTCTTAAAAAATTTCTTGTCTAGAGATAAAATTTTCATATTAAATCAAACAATAAAGCTTCTAGCCTATAACTTCATTGTAAATCTTTATTTTCAAGCTGTTCAAGTAATGCTTTCATTATCTGTGGGTCAGATCTTGCTACTGAGTTTTATATTGGTTTGTGAATTGATCTGTTTCAAAGTGCCTAAGTAGAGTTGTGAACTAGTTTTTTCACCCAGTAAGCTCTGGCCCAGCTTGATCAGCATGTAAAATAATAGTCCCACAATACAGATATAACAGTAACTTCTTCAAGCCTTGCTGAAATGGCTTCCTTATTGGTTTTTTTGTTTGTTTGTTTGTTTGTTTAAACAAAACAATGTTAACATAATCATACTCTACAAAATCAGTTTTTTTGTTTTGTTTCGTTTTTTTGTTGTTTGTTTTGTTCTGTTTGGTTTTTGGTTTTTTTTTTCCAAGACAGGGTCTCAGCATGTAGCCCAGGCTGGCCTCAAACTCAGGTTCCTCCTGCCTCAGCCTCCCAAGTGCTGGGATTATAGGCGTGCATGACTGCACCTGGCTCAAAATTAGTTCTTTAATAGCTGATAGCTCTTCTATAACCCTTACCACCTAAATTTCAGGTCTAATTTTTACTACTACTAATTTCCTTGTGTAATTTTTTCTCCACTAGATAACTAGTCTATTTACTAACTCTCATTTTAGTTACATTTATCAACAATTTGTTTTTCCTTAGTGAGATGCTTTTAAAAAGATACTGTATCTTATGTTCTCAGTTCAATTCATATAATACACAGTCTCTACAGTTGATTCCAGTCCTGTGCTTGGTTGCTTGGGTTTTTTTGGTTTTGGTTTTTTTTCCTTTCTTTCTTAAAGAACATTTCTTACCACCATCTCCATGGCATTATACTCTTGGCTATATAGGTGGAGTTGAACAATTGAGAGTCTGACCTCAAAAATCTAACCATGTATTTCAGTTTTGGAAATGGAATAAGTCTAATGTTTTAGTTTCAATTTTTATTTTACTTCCCTTATTTTTCTTACATGTGGCATCATAAGTGATTCTCGTTGTATATGCAACCTTTGAAGGTATCATTTTGATATAAATACTCCCTTCAACAGTTAAATTTCTTGAGGACAAACTTGATATTTTTGAGATTAAAATATTTCAAAAACCAGTAACCCTTTCTGACTTTTTGTACATGAAAAGGGATTTTTTTCCCTTTCTTTAATCATATTTCTGTATCATTATAATTTCACATTGACATAAAATATAGAAGTCTTAAGAATTAGAACATCCAACAGAATGGATACTAAATGATTTATCTCTTTTTTTTTTAATTCCATTACTTTTACCACCACCATCACCACCACCTCTGCCACTACCACTCAGATGTCCCACTCCATGTAATATACATTTCTTTTGTACCTTTGATACTTCATCTGTGTTTTGCCTACTTAGATATGCTTAATTTGCGTCTTCTCTAACTGTATAGGCTAGAAATTGATCAGTTTTTTTCTTTCCTCCTAAAAGATATTATGTAAACTGTCTACTTGAATGTCTTTGGGCACTAAGGATATGTACAGTAGCATGTTTTAGAAAATTGTGTTTATTTTGTAACAGCTAAGCTAGTTGGGATGTGTCATTGTATTTTACATTATACAATTCAGAACTGGTATTATTAATTGCATGTGAAAATGAAATTACTGTCACTTGTTATGATGAGTTTCATTAGGTAAGGTGTGCCCTACTTTTGGTCTCTCTTTGCTGCATTCTTTCTATGCATATGCCTTGATCTTCATGCACATTGGATGTCATTGTATTAAGCACAAGGCCACTGTTTACACACAAGCCCATTTGTGATTACATCAACACATAATTCACAAAAAAAAACAAGAATTCTGTTGCTTCAGTGAGTAGTTGTGTTTTGAAAGGGTGAGAACTTTCAGGAAATTAGTTGAAAAAAGAAAGTTCAAGCCAGTGGAGTGGCTCAAGTGGCAAGAGCGCCTGCCTAGCAAGCGTGAGGCCCTGAGTTCAAACCCAATACCGCCAAAAAAAAAAAGTTCAAGTCTGTCAACTAGAAAAGTAGTTCCCATTAAGATTAAATGCAGAAATTGGTCATGATTGACCTATGGAAGATGGATTAAAGAAGAGATGGAAGAGAAAGCCTTTAAAAGAATGACTGGGCTGAAAAGATGAATAGTACCCCAGAATGAAATCCATGCATCTCTTACAAGTCTTTGTTTTGAATTCATGTATGTGACATCCATTGAATCCAACATACATTCTTTTCTATTAACAACTCATGGCTTCCTGATTTGAGTCTCTTCTCATGTTTCATATTATATAAAATTATTTAAAACTGTCTTTGAAAAACAGATCCATTTCTTGTTTTTATTTGTTTTTAGTAGATGAATACACTGGTAGCATCCACATAACTGTCAAATAAATTGTGTTTTGTTTTGCATGTAGTGTTTTCAGACTTCCAGCTTATCACATTTCAAGCTTAGACATCACATATTGCTAAGTTGTTATACTGTTGACCATGAAGTAATCCTGAATGTTTGAAACATTTCAGCATATTGCTTTCCTCAAAAAAGAAACCACACACATTCATATTCACAAATACCCCTGGCCCCAGCAAAAAAGAAAGGAGAAAAAAAAAAAAACACTTGCAGACTGGTTTGTCATTGAAAGAATTTCCTCAATGAAAGAAAAAAGAACAATTACAACACATCATTGCTTGTTTAAATTCAGGTTGCTTTTGCATGCCATATGCAGATCATTTTTCATTTCTGTGTTTTCCTCGTTTGAGCTCATTTCTCATTCGTGTTTTTGTCTCATTTGTTTCCATCAGCAAATGCCCAGCACACCAGGGTTTGTGGGATACAATCCATACAGTCATCTCGCCTACAACAACTACAGGCTGGGAGGGAACCCGGGCACCAACAGCCGGGTCACGGTAGGAGAATCAACTATTACAGCCTCCAGCAAACAACTGGAACTGACCAGAAATGCCTCCAGAGTTAGGTCCTTTCGAATCATAAGCACAGCCATTTAAAAAAAAAGAAAGAAAGAAAAAATTAACCTGGCTTTTCAACTATCTTAAACATTTGTTGTACAATCTTATACTGAAGAAAAAAGCAGTGCGATCTGGATATGTATATGGAAGAAAAGAAAAATCCATTTGGTTTGGTGGTTGGTAGGGATAAAGCCTTGGGCACTTGATGTTTATAATATATATAACAAGCTGAGAAATTCTTATGTTTAAAGTACCTTTTTTGACATGAAGAATATCTTTCACTTTTCTAAGGTGATTGGCATTAGTCTCAAGGACTCCATTTCTTAATTGATGCTGGGCTTTCAGACCTGGAAAGCTTTTGCTGACCTGGCAGTCCAAATTGCTATACATAATTATTTGTCTTTTGGATTTAATAGTTGACCTTCTAACAGACTCATTTCTATGATTTGAAAAAAGAAAAAAACTTTAATTAATGTCACCTCAAAGAATTGCAGAATAAAAGTTAAATTAATTCAAAGTATCAGACTAGACAATTACAACTAGAGGTTGATTTCCAATCTACAGTATCAGTATGACTTTCAAAACTTAGGATGTGTCATTTAAGTAATTAACCGAAGATAATCAAAACTGGATGATAGTCTTCAGAGTTGTCTATTCTGTAATTATCTTAAACTTCATTCAAGGAAGTTCAGATAACCAAAATAAATCCAAAAGTCAAATACCTCCATACACTAGAATGTGGTATTGGTGAGAATATATACAACCCCAAATGGCTATAAACTTTTTCATACCTGGTTTTTTCATTTGCTGTATTCATAGATAATAAATCCATGCATTCAATTAATGTAACTTCAGAAAACCCTCTCACCCCATAGTCAAGCTACAGCTGAAATCTCGTGTAACTATCAAATTGTGTGTCTATCTTGGTAAGCATATTGCTTACCTTACAGGTTTTGTTTGTCTAAATTTTCATTGTTTCTGCATAATATGTACTTCATAAGCATATCAAGTTTTATGTGCCATGCATATTTCATGGTATTTGGGAAGAATTCTGACAAAGTGTGTTTATGTATGCCTTTTACAATGCATACAGTTTTTGTGTGCATCAGTACCTGTTTTTCCCTGGCCTACGTGTGTTGTTCTACAAGTGTAATGTGTGGCGAGGTTATCAAATGATAAAGAACATTTTAATTTAAACAATAAGCATAATCAATTTTGGATCATTCATGTTAATGCAGAAATTCCTGGGCAGTAAATAAGAAAGTTATTATACTAAATAACTTATACAGTCAGCTCTTGATTATCTGTTAATAGAATAGGAGTAGTAACCATGATATTAGAATAATTTGCATTTTGATCTTAATCTGGACACAGTTGTAGGCTTTTCTGTTGAAAAGAAAAGTGCAATCCCTGTTTCTGGGCCTGGGTCATTCGTCTGTTTCTCCCCTTTTCTTCCTAGCATTTGGAGTGGCACCAGCTTCAGGAGACTTGCTGGGCATGGGAAATTTGGTGTTTTGGTTCTTTGTGGTTGTTTTCTTTGTATTACTGTCCTTTTAACACCAGATCCAAGTGTAATCAAACTGCTGTATGAAGGGCCTAGAAAATGTGGAGGTTTTACACTCTTCTATCTCTTATTTAGTTGCATTAGGACTCAGCAGCTCTGATTTTGATATTGTAAGTGTTTTGTTTTGTTTTTTTAAAGACAGCCCTTACCCCAATTATGCACTGTTTGCTGGGGGAGGGTACCCCTATTTGATGTTTGCAAATTCCTTTAGTCAGTGATTTGATGAACCTATTTTGTGAACCCCTAAGAAGGAACTTCCTGTAGGCCACACAGAACATTGGGTTTCCCTAAGAACTCATGGAGTTTCTGAAGAGTAAAACACTTAAGTAGCAAGTTGAGGCCTCTTGGAGTGCTTTGGGTTGCTTTGACTACAGTTTACTCCTGGTCAGTTCTTCTTTCAGGTTCACATTTTCTTAAATACAAACAGATTGAGACAAAATATTATAAACCTCCTGCTCCCTACTTTCGTAGAAATTCTATCCCCAGAAGAAAACCCTTAAATACAACCTTACCAGAGAAACAACTAAAAATTGGGAAATAACAACAACAAAAAACACTTAAGTAGCCAATATAAGTCTTACAAAATCATGGATTTTATTCAAAGGTCTCCTAGGATGTAACTTTTAGTGTAAGAGTTCTTTTAACGAGCATAATTACTTGTTTTCCCCCCAAAGTCAGTGCAAATTGGAAGCAGAAAATTGGAGATGGGTTTCCTAATAACAACAAGAAAGAATAATATCAGAAAAGGAAATGGAGCACTCCCAGGCCATTTAGTCAAAGAACCAAATGCAGTTTTTCCTCACCTCAAAGGATGACACCACAGCAAAGCAGTAGTTGTTTCTAACTGATCCTTGAGGATAAAGGGTAAAAGTGTTCAGTGCAAACTTCTTTTTTAAGGGTAGTTTAAGATATTGTGGAAAGATATTAGTAACTTGAGATGTTAAATAAATTGGAGATGTGTAATGTTACAGTTCTTTAGGATCTCAAAAAAACAACTGGAATTTAGCTTTTATTTTTATGGAATTTGGGGGGGGTTGGTGTTTTTGTTTTGTATTTGTAAATTGACTGGTCAGTGTAATGGTAAAAGAACCTCAAAATGTAAATGGAAGAATGAAGAAGAAATGAGCAAATCCACTAGCGTTATAAAATGTGATTCTTTGGAAAAGATCAAAGAACGAATATTACGAGTATGTTTTTAAAGTGTTTTAATTCATTCTCAAAGCTTAAAACTATAGACATTAGAATTCTTTATAGTTTTTTTTTTTTAAGTTAACAGTAGTCTACCATGTTCAGTTATGGGCACAATTTCATTTTTATTTGTAACCCCACTTCATGTTCTAAAGATTTGTGTGGGATACAGATCGAAAATGGTTTCTAAAACTTCATGTGTACAGAAGCAAACTTTGTTTCTTCCTTTGAATTCATGACATGAGATTAACCTTATAGGACTTTCCCTTCTCCTTAAAAAAATTCCTGCAAACTTTAGTACCCATCTCCCCATACTGGTTCTTACCACAGTTTCCTTCCCTCATGGCTCACCTCACTCCATTGCTGACTGCTGGCTAAAACCAGGTGTGGGCATCGACATGAAGTGTGGTAAGAATGCTTGGAAGAGAAAAAGAAAGAGGAAATACTACCTCTGCTGGAATAAGTTCTAACAGACTTACTTATAGAAAGAGAAGAAGAATTATATATGTAAGGGAAGGAGGGAAAGTCAAGTATTTCTTGATCACAGTTGAAAAGGGTATAAATACTCCCTGAGCACTTGAATGAAAAAGGAGGTTATGATAGGATCCCATCCCAAATGAAGACATGTCCCTGGGGTCACAGCAGCAATAGAAGATGAGAATAACAAAATCTTACTAAGATTTGCCAGTCTGCATCTTTTATTAGAATAAAGCCAGCACTTCTTTCTCCCAGTCTGGTGGGGAGAGTCAGTATCAGGAGTTTTCCAGGAATTTAGAAAGTGTGATTGCACCATGATTTTTCTTTCTTTCTTTTTTCTTAAAATTTTTGGCCATAATAGGGTTTGAACTCAGGGCCTCACACTTGCTAGGCAGATGCTCCACCACTTAAGCCACTCCTCCAGCCCCTTTTTGTGTTGGGTATTTTTGTGACAGGGTCCTGTGTTTTTTGCCTAGGCTGGCCTCCAACCATGATCCTCCTGATCTCTGCCTCCTGAGTAGTTAGAGGCAGAGATACAGGCACAAGCCCCCAGTACCCAGCTGGACCATGATTTTTCTTATTCTGGATCTTTAATCAAATATAGTCATGTAAAGAGAAGACAAAAAGTTCAAAAACAGGTGCTCTTGGAGGGGCAACTTTATATGGGGCATCTACCAGAAGTTGCCATGTCTCCTGCTAGATCTCAGCCCATATAAGAAACCAATCACTCAACCATCTTGTTCCTTCCTTTTTAATTTTTTTCTGTCACCCACTTCGTTATCTTTTTGAAAAATGTTTTCAGTGTCTCCTCCCCCTCTTTCCATTTTCCTTTTCCTATATGTCCCATCTTCCTTATCCTCGTATCTTTTCCATAAAAACAAATTGTTTTTTTGGCAGTACTGGAACTTTAACTCAGTGCCTTCACCTTGAACCACTCCACCACCCCTATTTTTGTGAAGGGTTTTTCAAGATAGGGTCTCGCAAACTATTTGCCTGGGCTGGCTTCAAATCTCAGGTCTTATGTCTGCCTCCTGAGTAGCTAGGATTACAGGCTGAGCCACCAGCACCCAGCAAAACCCAAAAATTTTAATGGAATGGAACTTCTTGATATAAGACCTCAAAAATAACATAATCAGGCCTGTGCCTGCTAGCTTTGTTCCTGGGAGATGTATTTGCTCCTATACTGTGATTAGGAGCAAGGACAAAGAAAAAGAAAGTTGTTCACACTTCCTGATCCCCTCAGAAAAACCACTAGGGCTGGGGACGAAGCTCAGTGTAGAGTGCTTGCTTAGTGGGCCCTGGGTTTGATCTCCAGCACTGCAAATATATGAAGAAAACCATTTCATAACAGACATAGACCCTTAAGAGAAATAAAATTTCTAGTGCTAGAAGTAAGAATTTTTTTCTTTTACTTTTTTTCTTTTTTTCTTTTTGCCTTTAGTTATGTCCAGTTTTCTTATTGGTTGTTTTTGAACCTGGGAGGTAGCTTTGTGTTGTTGTTTATGTGGGGATGCACTCCTGACCTGGTTCCAGTAGATACAAGGTTCCCTATAGACAGAATGAGTGTGGTAAGTGTGGAACATTCATATTCTGCCGCAGATAATCAAGTGTTGACTGTATGCGTAATGGTTGAGCAAAATGAAGGGGTGCCGGGTAATGTCCTAAGTGTGAGATGTTTGATATATAACCACATATATTCAATGTATGGATTATTATGTAATACTTTATTTGTTCTTGCAGCCAGGTTGTCAAAGCAATGGCCTTAAACTGCTAAGTAAAACATTAAAAATTACATGCTTAAAGTCATTTCCTTTTGATATGAACATTTCTGAATTTGCAGTGATAACTGTTTTCCGTGGAGAAAATATAAGAATCTTGTATCCATGGACGAGTAGAAGAAAGGCGCATTAGAATTTTTTAAGGAACTTTCTTTTCAGGTTACTGGTGAACTCCTTGCAACTAAATAATGAATGTATTTAACTCTTTCGTAGGCATCCTCTGGTATTACGATTCCAAAACCCCCAAAGCCACCAGATAAGCCGCTGATGCCCTACATGAGGTACAGCAGAAAGGTAGGCAACCGGGAACGGGTAGAGATTGAGGACCGCCACCTGTGCCTCTTGGCCTTACATACAGTTTCAGACTGGCTTAGCACCTTTTCTCTTCCTATTCAGGGGGAGGATAATAAACTTGGAATTTTTAAAAATGTTCATTCTGACTTTAATTCTCCAGAACTAAGATCTACCAAGAGGAGCATGATTAATTAAACTGTTAATATCCTTAAAACAAAAGTTAATATCCTTAAAATAGAATGTTCTGTAGCCATGAAAGTAATGTCTTTTGGAAAATATTGACTGACATGAGAAAAAAATGCTAAGTGGAAAAAGGAATATAAGAATATATGTATTGTATCTTACTTTTATAAAAATAATAGATCTGAGAGTTTAGCTGAGAGCACTTGTGTAGCCTGTGAGAAGGCTTGGGGTTGATGCCTAGCACCACAAAAGAAATAACTAAATTAGATAATAAGTAAAATAAGAATAATAGTAACCACATGTAATCTTGAGTGAAGAAAAGCCTAAAAAACAAAGTCATTGCTAAACAACAAGCTTATGCTAATTTTTATTTTATTTATACATGTTTAAGCTTTCCAAATCTTGGGGGATTGAACATATGTAACCCTTAAAATTAAGAATGTAATCAATATTTTCATTAAATGAAAGAGCATTTTAAGCACTATTCTGAAATTTCACATTTTTTGGTCATAATTATTATATATGTATTTGACAGTATGAAACATTATATTATACAAATTAACCACTTCCCACCTACACTCATGTGACAAAAATTATTTCAGAGACACAGACTATTATTGAGTTAATTTATCTTTTTTTTTTTTTTTTTTTAACATGGAACACTTCACAGATTTGTGTATCATTCTTGTGCAGAAACCATGTTAATCTTCTCTGGATCCTTCCAATTTTAGTATATGTGCTGCCAAAGCGAGCACAGGTTAGTTCATCTTAAGTGTCTACAGTGATTAGAGATGTTCTTGGCCTTTCAGATTGAAGTTTTCGTGAGTGAAGTGACAGGATTCTGAGATCTGCATTAAAGTAATCCAGTTAGGAGAGAGGAGATAAGCCAGCTGTTAATTCTTTTTTTTTTCAGTTGTGCCGGGGGTACATTGCGAGCTGTTAATAATTGTTGAAGCAGACCGATAAGTTCACAAAAGTTTAATAATGTCCTCCTTGCTTTTGTTTATGTTTAAAAGTTCCATATTAAAGAGTATTTTAAAATGTATACCTAGGGATCAGTATTGAAATTTCATGTTTTCTTTTTAAGGTCTGGGACCAAGTAAAGGCTTCCAACCCTGACCTAAAGTTGTGGGAGATTGGCAAGATTATTGGTGGCATGTGGCGAGATCTCACTGATGAAGAGAAACAAGAATATTTAAACGAATACGAAGCAGAAAAGGTAGGGGACCGTAGTGGGACAGATACGATGTAAAGTGCATCAAACTTGGCTCATTATTTGTAAAAGAAAGAAAGACTTGATCAGAAAGCTGAGGCAGCACAGAGGCTCTGGCTGCCTGGGTCCAGCTACTTCATTTCTCTAGGCCTCAGACTCTTTATCCATAAAAGAGACAACTATAATGACACCTAGCTTAATATCATGTCCTGTGATGTGCAAATGAAATAATACAGGTATATACTGTAACCTGCAAAATGTTAATTATAAAACTAGCAAACCTTTGAATTCCAGATAGAGTACAATGAATCTATGAAGGCCTATCATAATTCCCCCGCATACCTTGCTTACATCAATGCAAAAAGTCGTGCTGAAGCTGCATTAGAAGAAGAAAGTCGACAGAGACAGTCTCGCATGGAGAAAGGAGAACCTTACATGAGCATTCAGCCTGCTGAAGATCCAGACGGTAAGGGAGAGACATGGGATTTTGTTCATCCTTTCTCTAAGTACAAATAGGAGACATCTCTTCAGTGTAAGTTACTTCTTATTTTAAATGGAAGACCATTATTTAACTGCCATTTTAATATCTCAGTTATTTTGAGTAAGATTTTTTTATGTGAATTTTCAAGAAGAAAAATCTGTAGTGCAGAAAATAGTAAAAACTACATTTATGTTTATCAAAATCTTTGTACTCAGTACGCATGATTTTTGAATCATAATTATGAGCCTTTTTTTCCTTTTTTTTGTGGTACTGGGACTTGAAATCAGGGCCTTCACCTTGAGCCACTCTACCAGTCCAGTTTTTTGTGGTAGGATTTATCAAGATAGGGTCTTACAAAGTATTTGCCTGGGCTGGCTTCAAACTGCGATCCTCCTGATCTCTGCCTCCTCAGTATCTAGGATTATAGGCGTGAGCCATCGGCACCCAGCTCCCTGAACCACTTTTAAAAAGCTAAAGGCATGGTGGCTTACACCAGTAAAGCAGAGATCAGAATTACAGTTCCAGGGCAGCCTGGGCAAAAAAGTTCAAGAGACCCATCTCAACCATAAATGCTGGACATGGTGGTACATGACTCTCATCCCAACTATGAGAGAAATGTAAATGGGTAGATCATTGTCCAGACCAGTTTTGGCATAAACACAAGACCCTATCTGAAAAATAACTAAGGCAAAAAGGGGTGGGGCATGGCTTAAATTGTAGAGCCCCTGACTAGCAAGTGCACAGCCCTGTGTTCAAACCCCAGTACTGTCAAAAAAAGCTAAATGCCTTCTAGTTAACGTCTAGTTTTCTCATTGCCCTCCTAAATTTGCTGAATTAAAGGCTCTTAGGGGAGAAAGTTAATACATGAGTAAAAGCAATATGAAATTTCCTTTCTACTTTATTCAGAAATCTAACAAGTATTTGTAACTACCACTCGT